AGAGTCAATGGCCATCTCTAACAAGGGGTAAAAGGGACAGCTGCCTTGGGCCCAGGTATTCCTGGGGGGCCCAAAGCAGCTGCCCCTTGTGCCTAAAAACAATTTAATCAGGGACCCATGGCCCTTTAAATTCCCCACGGGACGGGCCGCTTTTACATTGTTCTCCCGGCCTGCTGGGAGGAAGTGAGTTCAGGACAGGTCACTTCCTCCCAGCTAAAAGAATGATGTGTGGGTAGGAGGAGAAGGCACCACATGCAGAGCAGTAGAGGAGCTGAGGAAGCCAGCTTAGGTCAGCCAGCTCCACTTGGACCCCAGGAAAGCCCCCCTTCTGCATCAAAAGTAAGTTAACAGGAAGGCTGCTAAAATATGTCAATTGTAATTTGTATATGTATGTACCTGTTTATATGAGTTTGTATATATATGTGTGTGTATTTCAGTGTGTATGTCAGACTCCTGTGTGTCTATGTTTGCGTACCTGTATGTCTGTGTATATGTACTTGTGTGTCAATGTGTACCTGTGTGTCTGTGTATGTATACTTATGTGTCAGAGTGTATGTGCACCTGTGTGTCTGTGTATGTGCACCTGGGTATCTGTTTATGTGTACTTTTGTATCAATCTGTACCTGTGTGTTAGAGTGTATATGTACCTGTATGTATGTGTACCTGTTTGTGTATGTGTAATTGTGTGTCTGTGTATGTGTACCTGTGTGTATGTGTACCTGTGTATCTGTGTTGGTGCACCTGTGTGTCAGAGTGTGTGTGTACCTGTGTGTCTGTGTATATATACCTGAGTGTCTGTTTACTTATGTGTTAACGTGTATGTGTACCTGTGTGTCTGTGTATGTTTACCTGATTGTGTATTTCTGCCTGTGTGTCTGTGTACCTGTGTGTCATTGTATATGAACCTGTTTGTATGTGTACCTGTTTCTGTATGTTTACCTGTGTGTATGTGTACATGTGTATCTGTGTATATGTACCTATGTGTATGAGTACCTGCTTGCGTATGTTTACCTGTGTGCCTGTGTTTGGGCACCTGTGTGTCTGTGTATATGTACATGTCTGTATGTGTACCTTTACCTGTGCGTCTGTGCACCTATGTTCCTGTGCACTTGTGTTAGTGTGTATGAGCACATAACTGTGTGTGTGGCAGTGCATTCAACCCTTCATTCCAATGCCAACACTACACTTGCCTTCCAATGCTAACACAGCACACAAACACACCCCTATCACCCCCCACGTACATACTGTCACCTCAACACACATATTGTCACCCTCCCTCACACACTGTCCCCTCCTTTACTCTGCCACACTTACATTAACTCCCCCAATCCTGTCACATTCACCCATGCCACACTCACCTCCCATCTCTCTGCAACACTCACCCTATCACATTACCCCTCCAATTCTGTCATACTTATCCCCCCCCAACCATGCCACACTCTCCCTGTCACATAAAGATCCCCAAATAGTGTCATGCTCACCTGCCTGCACCCTGTCACACTCCCTCTTCCAACCATGCCACGTTCACCTCAACTCTGCATCACTAACCCTTCAACCATGTCACCTTTCCACAGTTAACCCTTTACCCACCTTGTCACAGTCACCCTCTGAATGCAGTCATCATACACACACAATCATGAAACATAGCTGCACCATAAACACAATGCACAAAGGCCACAGGCAGCCCCCCATACACACATTGCAAACAGTTATCCCACACACATATGGCCCAGGACACAAACATATACAAAGAGGTACATTTGAATACAAGGATACTCACTGTCAGACTCGCTCCCAGACACAGTGACTGGGATAGTTATTAATATGCAAATGGGTCTAGGGGCCCAAGCAAATGCTTGCCCATGGTCCAATCTATATTAAGACTGCCCTGGTAAGAGTTAAATGACAATATGTGCATTTTAATTATACTCTATTTTTTTGTATCATTTCATAATTTAAAAGTATATAAATATAAAATTCCAACTTGAACAATAGTGTGTTGAGTTAGGCAAACTATTAAAGGGACACTCCAAACCTCTGAAGCACTTCAGGATTCAGCCAGATACCCTCTGGCTGTCAATCATCCAACCAGTCCTGTTACTTCCTGGTTGTTTTGCTCACTGGAACTGTACTCAAGAGACAGGCAATTGCCCAGAGCATCTGCCTTGCAATGACTTCTGCATTGAAAAGTCTGTGATTGGACAGCCACACATTTCTAGCAGGGTTAGACGAGGATGGCTTGCAAAAGCTGCAGATAAAACATGTGCCGCTTTTGCAAGCTGTGTTTAGATATGTCCCCCAATGAAAAAATATATAAATAAATGCATGCTTGTTTTCATTCGGTGTACATATACTAAACAGTTATTTTTTTTTTTTGCGGGGGGGAGGAAGTGGTGTATCCCTTTAAATGAGAGAGACTTAAAAATAAATAACAAACCTTAAAGTGTTACTCTAAGCACAATAACAACATTGCATTATTGCAAAATTGATAGTGTAGAGAGTACTGCACCCACACTCAAAAGGAGAAAGTGTATACAGGGCCGGACTGGCCCACCGGGATATCGGGAAATTTCACGGTGGGCCGTCGGCACCTGGGGCCAGCAGACACCTGGGTCTGCTGGAGGGCGGTGGGGAGGTCTTCTGGCGGCCGCTGGGGGACTTGTATTGGCGGCCGCTGGGGTAGCTGCGCTGGCTCTGTTCCCCAGCGCGCAGCTGAATGAGACCGGCGCCGGAATATGACGTCATATTCCGGCGCCGTTCTCATTCAGCAGCGCGCGAGGGTGGGAGAGCAGAGCAAGCGCAGCTCCCCCAGCGATGCCAATACAAGTCCCCCAGCGGCCGCCAGAAGACCTTCCCCTGGCAGGTATTAGTAATGTGTCAGTGTGAGTTTGTCTGTCTGTTATTGTGTGTGTGTGTCTGTCTGTCTGTGTCATGGTGTCTGTCTGTATGGTGTGTGTCTGTCTGTGTCATGGTGTCTGTATGGTGTGTGTCTGTCTGAATGGTCTGTCTGCATGGTGTGTGTCTGTCTGTCTGTGTCATGGTGTCTGGATGGTGTGTGTCTGTCTGCATGGTGTGTGTCTGTCTGTCTGTGTCATGGTGTGTGTGTGTGTCTGTCCGTCATGGTGTGTGTGTCTGTCTGTCCATCATGGGGTGTGTATCTGTCTGTCCGTCATGGGGTGTGTGTGTGTGTTTGTCCGTCATGGGGTGTGTGTGTGTCTGTCCGTCATGGGGTGTGTGTCTGTCTGTGTCATGGTGTGTGTGTGCCTGTCTGTGTCATGGTATGTGTGCCTGTCTGTGTCATGGTGTGTGTGTGGGTCTGTCTGTGTCATGGTCTGTCATGGTGTGTGTGTCTGTCATGGGGTGTGTATCTGCCATGGGGTGTGTATCTGTCATAGGGTGTGTATCTGTCATGGTATATGTGTGTTTAAAAATAGTGTTTTTGCTCACCTTTTTTTTCCCCACGCAGCGTGCTGGTCTCCCCTCGACTGGCCCTGCCTCTATAGCTGAGATCATCAAGCTTGATGGCAATGCTTTGCCATAGGATTGGCTGCAAAACGCCACTCCAATAAGCATCTCCTCATAGAGATGCATTGAATCAATGTATCTCTATGGGGAACGTTCAGCACCTACAGAGTGTGGAGGCCCTGAATGTAGGTGCACTAACACAGGAAGCACCTCTAGTGACCGTCTGAGTGACTGTCACTAGCAGTGTCACTTTGAAGCAATGTAAACACTGCCTTTTCTCTGAAAAGTCAGTGTTTACGTTGAAAAGCCTGTAGGGACATGCTATAGACACCAGTACCACTACATTAAGCTGTGTGTGTGCGTCTGCTAGTGAGTGAGCTTGCTTGCATGCGTGTGCCTGCTAGTGAGTGAGCTTGTGTTTTTATGTCAATGAGCTGATGTATATCAGTGAGATTGTTTGTCTATGAGGCTGTGTATCAATGAGCTTGTGTGTGTCATTGAGATGTCAGTGAAATTGCCTGTGTCTGCATCAGTATGCTTACTGTATAATTAAACGTTTTACCCTGAAAAGACCAATATTTTATATTAGAAAAAAAAATATATATATATATATATATATATATATATATATATATATATATATATATATATATATATTGCTTTTTCATAATTAAAATACCTAATTATGGTAAAAATATTACATAAATATATATATATATATATATATATATAATTTTTTTAAAATATTTTTATTTATATATAGATATATATATATATATATATAGTGATATATACATATATATTTATGTATATAGATATATATATTATTTCGTTCTACATGTATTTTGATATATATATATATATATATATATATTAATATCACAATACAGTTAGAACGAAATAACACACATCTATATATTTCTTAATTATTTCTTTTTAATTATTTTTTTTTAATTTATTTTTTTAACGTATCTACATATGTATTTTTTATATTATATATAAATATATATATAAGAATAATTATATATATATTTAATTAGTATCAGTCTACGTGTAATTTGATATTAATATATATATATATATATATAAAATTATATATATTAATAGTAAAATACCCCTAGAGAGTGTATGTGTGTGTATGTATATGTGTATATATATATATATATATATATAATCTAAGTATATAATTTTTTTTTTATAGTGATTAACTTTATTTTATTTGAATTCAGCCAGCAGGGGGACTAACTGTCATTACAGGCAGTCCCCCTGCTGGCAATGCAGCAGCCAGCTAACCCGGCCATGTGATTGTGAGGTCCTCGCAAGGACCTCACTCTCACATGGCCGGGGGGGGGGGGCGGAGGAGGCAGGATCTGCCACTGGGGACTCGCTGGGATCCCAGGTGAGTCTCCCCAACCACATCCCGATCCCACGCCGGCGACCGAGTAAATAAGAAAAAGCGGAGGGCGTACTATTACACCATGCAATGTTTATAGCCTCCGGTTTTAAGGGGTTAAGATTTCAGAATATTTTTTTTATCTATTTGTACAGTCAGCTGGGAACATGAAATATTTCAATACAAGCCCAAACGTAGAGTGTTTTGTTTCAAAACCTGTCTGCTTCTTAAATGCGTCAATTGTTGAAATATGTAATTATTTTCATTTTCAAAAATACTGTTTTAAGTCACTAAACAGTATCCTATTACATTCTCGATGAAGGACTTGTAACACGCATTCCAGTATTTACGCAGGTTAAGACAGAAGGTCCGTGTACTTAGAAGATAAGCTTTATGCAGAGCACAGAGGGCTTTAATGAAAAGAAGGGCAGGAGCAGTACTCCTAAGTCAGCCTGAGGCCAATGACTTGGGATACAAGTGAGCTGACATATTCTATTTCTTAGAAGAGAGCTTTCATGTGAACTGTCAATCTATACCAACAGGACACCTTGACACAACATCACGGCTAATGCCTGTGGAGGCATTCATGAAAATCATTCAGATTTTTTTCTTGGAGAGGCTGAAACTGAACTAACACATCTGTGTAACGAGATCAATATTCCACAAGGAACGACATTCCGGGAGAAAAAAGAATCTCCCCAGAAGCAATTCATATCTGCAGGATAATTATGGCCCTAGGGACACAACACATAGAAATAAAAGAGCAGGACTTGCAATCTGATCATATAGTGTTTTTACATATTACATTTGCATTTATGTTCTTCAAATAAATAAGATGTTTAACCCTTTTGTGAAGAACGAGGAAATAGAATATTACATAATATGAATATATATTTTCTCACCTAAAATACAAACGCACTATGTATTTTTTTGTTAGTCTGCATACCAACAATTTTGCATCTCTGTTTGTTTGTTTGTTTGTTTGTCTATCTGTCTGTCTGTCTATTTTGGTCACTTTCTCTACATTTGTGTATTATCAGAAATAGTTAATGTCCTCGTATTCTGGTATCTGGCAATCGTTGTACACTCTTGAAGCTTACCTTTTCAAATTTTTAAGTTATAAGATGTATAATTAACCAGTTCAAATAAAAAAAAGAATCTACAAAGTAAATATTTATTTTTTTGTTAAATTATTACTAACATTCAAATTTATACATCTATATATGCAATAGGATGCTGCATTTTTTTTTCCCAGCAGTCGAATTAAGTGCATTATGTTTTTATCATATTCAGAACGAAATTGCTGATAACTGGTGTCTTGCTGTAAATTCGACCCTGCCTCGGGCAAGTGAATACATTTTCAAATACATTAATTGGACTAATAACAAGCCTAATCACATGAGAGTTATTCCTCTTTTCGTTTTCATTTTTGTTCATAAAGCCACCTTTGTAAGATTTGCAGAATTTAACAAACCCAAACTGAGCTCAGTTTTTGTTTTTGCTAATATTACAAGAAATGTTAGAACCCTGAAAAAATATCCATTGTATGAATTGCTAGAAAAATTATGAGGTTATCATTAAATAGCAGAAATGACTGGTTGCAATTGTCTTTATGATATCTATATATAACTGTACAATTACAGGAAAAACAACATTTGTATATGAGGCATTTGTGCATCTGGATATAAAGCAGTTGGGTATGTGGGCATATATTTTTACATTGTATTCATTAACAAAGAGTTGACAAAATGAGAACCAAACAGATCTCCTTTTGAGAGAGTGTGTGCTACAACAGATGTGTTAGTGAAAAAGATAGGTGTATAGCCGCTCTGTACACTAATGTGGATTACCCTTTATTCCACATGCAATAGATATAACAAAGGAATTTGGTATATAATATATATATATATACCTTAAGTGGAGGGCTATAAATGTTGAGGAATTATCTCACAGGGTCTTGATTGGGTCCTATACGTCATATACAGATATGGAAGATACAAATATATAATATAGTGCAGCTTGTAAAACACTTGTGCAATTTTAAATGAGGTAGATAAATGGATCACTCCCATCTTCCAGAGCCTATATTTTGGCTCTGCAAATTGGACCGATATGCTTTTAAGGGCAGCATCCCACTACTATTTCCTGCTGAAACTTTTATCTGGGAAGATAAAAACAATAGGAACATCCAATCTGTAGTATAGTCAATTCACGAATATTTCTGATAGAATGTAAATAGGTATTATGTTCACCTGTTATAGAGCCTTAAAATCCTGTCTCTGAGGGTGGTAGGCTTTGTGCCACTCTAAAGGGGTTGGCACTTCCCCAGATAAGGGTACTTGGGGCTTCTATGGACTTAGTATAAAATGTAATTTCTTTATTAATACAAATATGCTAAATAGGCAAAGATTTTGAACCCTTTTTGAATATAGGAACCACATCTGCCTTCCTCCAATCCAAAAAAAAAAATCTTGAAAGACTAAATACAGAGCTTCACTTATTTCCACAGTTTGCTCCTTAAGTACTTGTGGGTAAATACCATCAGGCCCTTGAGCTTTGTTTACATTAACTTTTATTTAGCTGCTTAAAATAAAATTAATGAATACATTTGGTTCCAGTTAACTAGTTGTCACCCTTAAAAAATATCACTTCAGGGAGGCACTGATAACAAGTTACTTATGAGTTTACATATTATTTGAATCTGCTAAAGTTTGTGAATTAGGTATTCAACTAATTGAATTCTATCTAAAGAATGTAAATTAAGCTGTGAATACATACAGTGTGAATATATGCTGAGTAGTGATGTACCGAACGGTTCGCAGGCGAACGGTTCCTGGCGAACATAGCATGTTCGCGTTCGCCACAGCGGGCGAACATATGCACGGTTCGACCCGCCCCCTATTCGTCATCATTGAGTAAACTTTGACCCTGTACCTCACAGTCAGCAGACACATTCCAGCCAATTAGCAGCACACCCTCCCTAGCAGACCCTCCCACCTCCTGGAAGGCATCCATTTTAGATTCATTCTCAAGCTGCATGCTTAGTAAGAGGAGGGAAAGTGTAGCTGCTGTTCATTAGATAGGGAAAAGCATAGCTAGGTTAGGGTTAGGGTATGCTTTTTTTTATTTTTTTTTCTATGTAATGTAATTGTACTTAGTTGTCTACCACTGCTGCCAGCTTCTGTGTCAGGCTCACAGTGCATACTGT